CACATCACACCTGGGAGAGAAGCGGCACGGCGTCGGCTACCTGAGCGAGCTCGAGTGAGGCGCATGCCAGCCGCGTGCGAGGGTGCCCGCGGGGTTGTCCCAACGGCTTGCCTCCGCGGCGACAGCCCGCTGCATCCTTGAGGAGTTGTTCCGGCAGGTTGCGCGTTGATGGCTGTCTTGAGCGCGCTCGCGCGCTGCTGCCCCGAGGAGTTGTTCCGACGGGCAGCGCGCTCGCTGAATGCATTGCCGCCGAGCCTTCGCTGCCCCTCCCCCCTTGCCGCCCGCTTGTGGACTTCGCCTTTCAAACGTTTGCCCGAGGGGTTGTCCCGACGGCATATGCGTTTTTGTATATCCTCTCGCTCTCGTCGCCACCCATGCGCTGTTTCGCTGCCCCGCTCCTTCACGCCTCAGGCCCGATGGGTTGTCCTGACGGCATCTGCAGCAGAGACCAGGAGAGAGCCGGATACAATAGCAAATGCCAGCAAAAACCAACGCGGAGCGGCAAAGAGCATGAAAGAGCAGCTGAGATCAACCGAGAGCAGCAGACAACAGCATGGAACAGTAGAGAGCAGCGGGAAGCAGGAGGGAGCGGGAGAGACCAGGACAGACCAGGTGAGGCCAGCAGCTGGCCAGCTGACACCGTTGTGGTTGAGGTCTTGTTTGATAGTTTCGATCGTTTCTGTGTTTTCTGGGAGCCTCCGGAGCTCCCAGGGGTATCTTGACGTCAGGCACCGGGTAACAGCCCAGAGCAGCAGGGAGCGGCATAATGCAGCAACCAACAGCGAAGACCTGCAGGGCGCAGCAGAGAGTAGCAGAGAGCAGCAGACAACAACAGGCAACAACAGAGAACAGCGGAGACTGGGGGTGTGATGGGCTTGTGATGGGCTCAAATGGGTTTGTTTCCGTCGCTGTTGTGATGGGCTCAAATGGGAAGATTCGTGTGGGTCTCGTTGCCGAAGCAGCAAGCAGTCGCGGTGCGCCTGCGTCTCGCCCGCCATGCCTTTCGAGATGGGTGACACCACCGTGCTCGTTCTGTTCGTCGCTGTGCATAAGGATGACCAGCCCGCCGTTGAGCACGGGGCGCAGATTCCACGGCGTTTGATGGGGTCCACTCCGTGCGTTGGTTTCCGCACGTCGCCGACGCAGGCCATGGAGCGCGCTCGCATAGTGCAGCAGAGGAGTGGCGCTTTTGTCTCAAAGGTGAAGCCCGTGCTGCTACAGGTGGAGTTCAGCGCCCGCGCTCTCGCGGACCTCACCGTGACGCCCGCCGCCAGGGAGTACGCCTTCGCGCCAATGCTGCACAAGGTGGTGCATCGGTCCGATGGAGAGACTGACTGGGGAGTCTGGCATTACTGCGGCGATTTCCCACTGGGGCTCTCTGGGATTCGCCATTGCTGGCGGGAGATTGAGTGATCTGGAAACGCTTGTTCGCAGGTCGCTACTCGGCCGAGGGGTTGTCCCGACGCTTTTTTTCTCCACCTGCACAGCGCGCTGTCTTGCTTCCGGCGGCATAGACCCCTTTGCTACGTCTCTCGCCTGAGGGGTTGTCCCGACGGCAGTATTCACGGTCTGAGTGTCTCGCCAATGCATCCAGCGTTTGAGTCGGCAAAGCAAATGGGGCTCCTGCGCGCCCTCCCACCCGCCACTGTCATATCCGTTGCCTGTCCCGTTTAATCGAGGTCTCCGCTCCCTCGTGGTTGTCGATTCCGCCGAGTGACATCTGACACGAGGGTTTCCGCCGGACCCGCTCACCACCATGTTATTACGGTTTTCTGATTCGGATATTAACGTCTTTTCGGGGGAGCCGTCTTCGTTGTGCTCTGGTGCATTCGCGCCGTCTCGAGTATGCACGCACGCGCAGCCGCGCGCCTCGCGTCTCGATATTATTCGACTAATCGAGAAGGATGGGAGAGGAAAGTGAGAGCTGGGGGCCCCTGTCAGCCTCGACCCCGTGCAAGAGCTTCCGCAGCGCATTTGGCTCAAGCATCTTGTGGCCAGCGCCCCCGTTCCATCTCAGTCCGGCGTTGCCGCTGACCATGGCGGACAGCAAGCTCGCTCTGTCTCCGCGAGAGTTCTCCGGCGATCCCGCCACGTGCGTCTTCGGGCGCGTCGTCATCAAGCGAGGCCCGGTGGAAGTGGGCAACCAAGCGGATGGGAAGGGCAAGGGCAAGGCCAAGGGCAAACGCGCTGGAAAGGACAGAGAGCCGGGGAGGAAGATCGAAGTGCACATGCTCGGCGGTGACACTGTGGGCGACGTCCTGTTCCTTGACGGATGGGCAGACGCCGTCGCCCAAGTTCATGCCGCCATGGAGCTGGGCAGGGTCTACCGCGTGTCCGGCGGGACCGTCGTGAACCAGACCCCGAAGTACTCCACTTCTCGGCTGTCGTACTTCTTGCGGGTAAAGCCGCCCTTGGGAGTCAACACGGTCATCCAGGAGTGCACCGAAAGCCCGTGGGTGGACGTTCCCCTGCATCACCCGTTCGCGGAGATTGCCAGCTTGGGCAGAGTGACCGATGCAACGCAGGCGTGCGCGGTCGGCGTCGTGTCTCACCAGCCGGGCGTCGTGGAGCGCGACACCCAGTACGGCCGAGCAGGCGTCTGCAACGCGGTGATCAAGCAGGGGCGCCACGACATCCGCCGCGCATTCTGGCGAGACCATGCCGCGACTCTGGCCGCCTTCCCCGTCGGCTCCGTGATCGCGCTGATGCAAGTGAATGTGAAGCAGCGCAACGGGTCCTGGGAGATCTTCGCCACGGAGGCCACGGAGGTCACGACTTGTCCTGCAGCTCAAGCGGAGACTGTTCGCGCCGCGACTGACATCTCCGAGGGTGCCGACGCGGCCGCGTCCCTCACCAAGCAGCACCATGCCGTGGACTACGACACGGTGCCCGCCATGGCGAGCACGGTGAGTGGCCTCATGTCGGTGCCCGTGCCTTTCCAGACGCGCGACCTGCCTGGGGTCTTCGAGCTCCACTGCGTCGCCGTCACGGGCGTGGCAGGTGCTTCCGCCGACAGCGACTGGCAGATCAAGAGCTGCGCAGAGTGCAAGAAGAAGATTCCCGACCACCAGGACACGTGTGGCAGCCACCCCGAAGCGGGAACTGAGATGCGGTGGCTCCTGAAGCTGGGCATCGCGGACCACACCGGCGGAGGCTCCGCCGTCCTGTACCACGACGCAGCGTCCACCCTCGACGTGCTCGGCGATTCGGGCACGCCCCTGGACGCCCAGGCTCGCCGCGTGCGCGCTGCGGCATTTCGGGCGACGCCGTGGACGCTGCGGTGCGTGTTCAAGACAAACGATGTCACCAATGTCAACTACCTCGAGGTGAAGCGGATTGTCCCGACGCTGACGCCCGACGGCGTCGTGTCGACGTGGTCGGAGGTGACGGCGCCGCCGGCGGTGAAGACGGGCGGCGCCTGCCCGTTCGCGGCGTGCTCGGACGTCAGCTCGGACGACTCGCTCGGCTTGCTGCTCGTCCGTGACCTGGAGGTCCAGGCGGTCCGCGTGTTGCTGGTGATGCAGAGGCCCACGGAAGCGGAGACGGTGGCCACACCCGACGCAGAGAATCGCGGCCTGCGCGCGCAGCGCCTCGCGCGCTGCGGGTTCCAGTCTGAAAAGGAAGACACGTATTGCGTTAAGACGGCCGGCGTCGCCGGCGACGTGCAGTGGCTCCTGACGGCCGGGCACGGCGACGCGCACCTCGTGACTGCCATGCTGCGGACAGATAAGGGCTCCGGCCGCGGGACGTTCGATGTGCTGTCGCACAAGGCCGTGGTCCCCGAGCTCTTGCCCAGCATGGTCAAGCTCATGGCCAGCGCGCAGGGGTCCGGCGGCCCGGCGCTCATCGCGCACGCGCCCGACGCCACGCCGCTCAAGCGCATGCGGGACCTCGCCTTCTCGCCCCCCGACGCTGCGTCAACGCCATCATCCCTGGCGACGCGTCGCCGACTGGAGTGAGAGCTCGCGCGCGAGCCGCAGCCGCGCCTGCGGGGATGTCCCAACGGCGCGCTCTGGCACTGGCGCGAGCCCGCGCTGACTCGGCTGACGCTGCGCCGTCTTGCGAGGGCGCCCGCGACGCAGTGCCCATCGCCGCTTGTCTCGCCTGAGGGGTTGTCCCGACGGTATTGAGTATTGATTTTGCACTTTGTCTCTCCCTTCTGTCGCCGCCCCAGCCGCGCCCGCGGGGTTGCCCCGACGGCGCTCGCTGGCACTGGCGCGAGTTCGCGCTGACTCGGCTGACCCTGCGCCGTCTCGCGAGGGCGCCCGTGACACAGCGCCCATCGCCGCTGGTCTCGCCTGAGGGGTTGTCCCGACGGTATTGATTTTGCACTTTGTCTCTCCCTTCTGTCGCCGCCCTCGCGCTTTCTCCCGCAGGCCCGACGGGTTGTCCTGACGGCATCCTGCGCGCGGCGCCCGTCCGGGCGGGGGCAGACGGCGGAGCTACCGACCACTTCAAAAATGACAGGGCCTGCGCGCCAGCATTCTCCCTTCCGCTTTCGCCTCCGTCGTCGATCTCCATCCCGGATTGCCTGCGATGCCCGGGCCGTCGAAAATATCGTGCCCATCCGCTGCCTCTCACTGCCGGCAGGGAGCAGCACAGCTGACAGTAGCAGCCAAAATCTGAGACCACCCGTGGCCAGCAGAGAGCACAACAGAGCACCGGAGAGCAGCAGACAAGAACTGAGACCAGCATAGTATCAGCAGCAGAGACTCACATGCAGCAGCAGAGAGCAGCAGAGACCAAGAGAGAGCAGGATGCATTAGCAGAGACCAGCAGAAACCACCACGGAGCGGCAAAAGGCATGAAAGTGCAGTTGAGAGCAGCGGTAAGCAGGATGGAGCGGGAGAGACCAGCTGAGACCACCATACCCCGAGGTGACCAGCTGAGACCAGCTGACACCGTAGCGATTGAGGCTCAGTCCGCATTGGCTTTGCTTCCTGTTGCCAACGCTGCGTGCTTCACTCGCCGTTGCAAACCGCATATCCCGACATTTCAACATGCCGCCCAAGAAGACGGAGGCGGCCTTGCTCGCAGACGTCGCAGAGCATCGTCGGTGGGCGACTGCCAATTTGACGGCCCTGAGAGCACGGGGCGGCATCGGCTTGAAGGCGAAGCTTCAGCAGAGGGCGGGGCTCGAGGAACAGCGGATTTACAAGTGGTACGTGAAGCACGCGGGCGTCGCATCTGATCATCCGACAGTTGCCGCTGCCCTGTCGGAGCTGGACGCCCTGGTCAATGACTCCCTCGGCCCGGCAGCGTCGGCGTGCCCCGACGACGCCCCGCCGGCAAAGCAAAGGCGCCTGACCGAGAGGGGTGGCGAGGCTGCTGCCTGCGCGGCGCCGTTGCAGGGCGAGTCACGGCCTGGCCAGTCGACGCCGGCAGCTCGAGGGGTTGTCCCGACGGCTTGCTCGGCTGGACACGGCCCGGCGGCTGCAGCAGCGGCCAAGGCGTCTCCCGCTTCAACGCCGCCCATCGGCATCGAAGAGACCCCGGCGAAGAGGCCTCGCCTGTTCGCCGACGGGCTCGGTGCGACGCCCGCGCAGACCACCGGCGGCCTGACGCCTGCCACCGCGGAGGCCTTGGCAAGGTCGTGCCGCAAGAGCCCGTGGGAGTCCCCGTTGGTCGACGATTCCGTGAGGCTTGCTCACCCAGGGAATCCCGCGAGAGGTGCCTCGCGGCCCGTCGAGCGGCCGCGCTTGCGCCCGCGGGAAGAGGAGCGCCTCCTGGCGGCAGTGCCGCGGAAAGCTGTGAAAGATCTGTACGTGCACGTCCGCGATGAGGCTCTGCGCCTAGGCAACGGAGAGTACCTCCCACAATGGCGCGAGAACAAGCCAAAGTATCGACAGCTGAACTACGTGTGGAATTTGCACCAGCACGGCGAGCTCCAGGCGGCCGAGTACGCTCTGTTGGCGCACCAGCCTCACATTATTGGCCCAGAGCTCTTCGGCGCAGTGGAGAAGGTGGAGTGCCCCGCCGCAGTGATCCCCTCGAGCAGCAGCGCCTGGCGGTGGACTTTCAAGCCGGCAGGAGTTGACGTGGAAGGACCGCAGGTGGAATCTCGGGCCGACGCGGCGCGAGCCCTGGCCGGGCTGCAGGCGCGGCTGTGCCCCGAGTGGCATCACCCAGGCACTCGCGAGCAACACCTCCGCGCCCTGCTGCGCGACGACGACCGGCAGCAGCAGATGCGCGGCCTGCTCGCTCAGCCTGGCATGCGGTTCGCCAGAGCGGCCGTGCTGGGAGCAGCCGCGTCAGCGCCCCGAGACGGCCGCGCGGGCGCCGCTGGCTTCCCCAACCTGACAAACACGTGCTACATCAATGCCGTGGTGCAGTGCTTGTACCACACGCACCCCTTCCGCGCAGACATCGAGGGCATGCAGCCGGGCGCCAGCAACATGGGGGACCGCCTGCGGGACTTGTTCTGTGCGCGCAGCTCCCCTGCTTCCACGGCCGGCGACATTCGCCCGCCGTTGGTGGCCCTTGTCCGCCAGATCTTGCAGCAGCCGCCAGGCTTTGAGTCCGGTCGCCAACAGGACGCGGCGGAGTGCCTGATGCGCGTCCTCGAGCACGCGGACCTCGGAGGAGTGCGGCGCCGCGTCTGCGGGGACGGCGCAGCCGCGAGCGTCGAGGGCATGGTGCACTGCTGCGCGGCCGAGGAGGCCCAGGTGGGTCGCGATGCGCCGCCTGTGCCCATGGCCGCCATGATCCAGGCGTCCCTCACGGGCGAGCAGGCCGTCCGTGAGGCTTCGGAGGCAGTGGTCCTCCGCGTGGAGAGCATGTACGAACAGGATGGCAGACAGTTCGCGGTGGACGCGCGGGCGGACTGGCGGGACACTGTCTTCCCCGTCAGCATTCTCAACGGAGACGCCGTTTCTTACGAGGTGGCGGCCTTCGCGCAGCACCGCGCCGCGCGCGGCGTACCACCTCTGCAGCGGATGCGCGGCGGCCACTACGTCGCCTACGTCAACAAGGGCGGGCGCTGGTTCGAGCTCGACGATGCCGTCGTGACGGAGCTGCCTGAGCCGCCTGACGCGTATCCGTACTTGGTCTTCCTGGCCCGCGCGAGGCCCAGACGGTCGATTCCGATGGGCGGGAAGCGGCGCGACCCTCGTGGGCCTGACGACGCTCTGGAGGCTGCTGCCAGGCTGTCGCGAGTGATGCCTGCGGCGTCGGGAGGGGCCGCTGCTGGCTTAGCATCCGGATCGGGCAGCGGCAGCCGCGGCTTGCCACAGGCTGCAGGCTCAGCGGCTGGTCAAGGCCGGACAGGCAGGGACTGGAGTGGCAGAGACCAGTCTGGTAGAGACGAGACTGGAAAGGACCAGACTGGTAGGAACCGCAGCGGTCAGCCAAGGGGCATTGCTGGAGTGCACCCAGCTGCCAGGGCCGTCTGGAACGCTTCAGCTGCCGCGGACAACAGAGACCACACCCGGGCAGACCCCGAGAACAGCGCGGACAACCCTTTCAAGCGGTACGTGGATAACTGGGATCTGCGACGCACCAGCGCAGATGTGAAATGCCGCACCTGGTCGCAGAGGGCCGAGCCGTCGGGCCCCCAGCCGTGCCGGCTCTGCCAGGGCCGAGACTTCGCGTTCCGCGAAGATTGGAAGAAGCACGTGGACGACGAGCACGGTGGCGTCCAGCGCTACCGCAACGCTCTCTTCTCGTCGCTGTCGCTGAAGCCCTATGTTGTCAAGGGAGAGGAGTGGCGCGCGATCGTGGCCAATTATGCGGAGTTCTACGCCAGGGCCGCCGTGGACTGGGAGAAGCCGACTGAGCGCATGCGTGAGCTCGCTCAGACTCCCGAGGGGTTGTCTGCAGATGAGCGCTGGGCGCCCCGGACCCGCTGTGCGTGCGTCTTCTGCGCCAGGCTGCGCTGGTCCGAGGACCTCTCCTTGGAGTTCCTAGCAGGCAAGGACTGCTTCATGAAGAACCCCGAGGCCGTGGCCAAGCTGTTGTCTTGGGAGGTTTACCGCAAGCACTGGCCCGACATCCCCGAGGCCGAGCTCCGCGCCTCCGCCGTGCGTCTGCGCATTGGGAACACGGACACATTCCAACTTGTCCTCATGCACAAGCGGCGGGTGACGGATGCGCAGGCGTTGGGCGACGAGCGGGCCCCGGTGTGCGAGGATTGCCTGTACGCGTTCTCTCCCCGCCACCCGCGCATGTGCAAGTTCACCTTCGCTAACCACTTGTGGCTCGGCAGGAATGACCCGCTCTTCCGCAATGCCAACTTGTCGCACCAGATGCTCCTCGCACTCGCCCGCGTCGCGACGACCAAGGTGGTGCTGCGCCCCGAGAGCTACGACAAGCAGCGCAGCGGCGACGGGCCCACGTGGGACTTCCTCTTCCACCAGACGGGCATGGTGGGCTCCGCAATCCTCTTCGGGAACGCGTCGTGCAAGGAGGCCATGGAGCGTTTCCCTCCGGCTTCCATCAAGGGCGCCTTCGCGGTGACTTTCCTGGCAGCCAAGCAGGACGCGGCGAAAGAGCAGCCGCCAGACGGCTCGGATAATGCAGCGGGACAGTGGCGCCGCGAGGGTCTGGCTGGCGACGCCGCCAGGCAGCAGGACGCCGCCCGGCGCGCCGTCCGGGGCATCGCGCGCCTCAAGGTGAACCGCGCAGAGTTTGACTCGCAGGCGCAAGCGCTGCAGTCCACGAACGTCGTCTACAAAGACAAGGATTACGACGAGGCGCTGGTTGCCCAGTGGTGCCCCAACCCGCTGATTCCTGAGGTGCCCCCGGTGGTGTTGGACAGCGTCGTGGCCGTGCCGTTGGAGGATTCGCCCGGCGCCGTCGTGGCCGCGGGACCAGCCGACGCCACGGCGGCCGGGGCGCAGGATATGGAAGACGCAGACGTTCAGGCGTGCAAGGAATCCCGGTACGTGAGCGCGTTCAGCGAGGAGGACATCCCGGGCGCGGCCGCCTCGGCGGGGGCCTTGGAGGTGACGGCGCTGATCAAGCAGCTGGAGGAGCTGGACGCGACAGCGCAGCGCTCCGTGGCCAAGGAGACAGAGCACGCCATCGAGTCAGGCAGCGCGCTGCTGGACGAGGCGGGCAGGGAGCGAGTCTTGCAGCTCTGCGAGTCCGTTCGAAACCGCGCTGCTCGGTTGTCGCGCCCGGAGCGGGAGCTGCGGCTGCAGGAGGACCTCGCGCGCGCCGCGCTGGGCGAACCGGTCAGGCCTCGACAGGCGGGGGGGGCCGAGGCGACCATGGCGAACCTCGAGGTGACGCGCGGCACGGCGCCCCTGTCGCTGTTCGATTGGAAGGTGTGGACGCAGGCGCGCCCGAGCCTGTGGCGCTACGGCGACGCCGGTCACCTGGACCCGAAACGAACGGGGACCTACCCGCAGTTGCTCGCCCACGAGTGGATCACGTGCCTGTGCATGCGGGAGGAGATGGAGTACACTCTGGACACCGACGAGGAGAAGCCGTACCGCGTGCGGGAGAACGACGACGATCCAGAGGTCAACCGGTTCGCGGCGGACTGGGTGTCGTTGCACATGTTCGCCACGTTGCACTTCTTGACGGAGCGCCACCAGTCCGCCTTCGCCTTCCTGAAGAACGGAGGCATGAAGTGGGCCGAGAAAGTGCAGCACCTCACGCCGGATGCCCTGGCGGCGGCCGCCCGCGCTCACGCGGGTGGCGGCGGCGTGGCGGCTTTGGCAAGCAACGCCAACGTGCCCAACGTGGTTCGGGACGCCCTGAACATCATGCAGATGGCCGTCGCGGACGTTGTCGGCACCGACGGACATCGGCGCCTCTGCCGCCACGAGGGGGTTGCCTACATGGCGCTCTTCGGGTGCCCCTTGATCTTCGCCACCCCGAACGTAGCGGACACGAAGCAGCCACTGTTCGTCAGGGTGGAGGGCCAGGAGATCCCGCTCGACGACCGGAGCATTCCAGGCCTGCGCAGCGACGTCATCCCAAAGTACCGAGACATGATGCGGCGCGTCGCCCAGGACCCGGTCGGCCAGACCGTGTGCTTCGAGCTCATCATGCGCCTCTTCTTCATCCACGTCCTCGGCGTCCGCCCCGAGTGCGTGGGCGGCCGCCGGCGCGGCGTTCCTCCCAGGAAACGCTGCTCCTGGGACTGGTGCACCGACGGCGTGGCGGCGTCCTCGACCGCCCCGGGGATCTTTGGGCCCGTGCAAGCTTTCCGCGGAGAGATCGAGGCGCAAGGTCGGGGATCGCTCCATCCGCACATCCTGGTGTGGTTGTGCGCCCTCTCGACGCGGCAGCTCGTGCACGTGCTCCGACGCCATCCTGCCGCTTCCGAGAGCGCCTGGGCAAGTGGATGAGGGCGTGCGTCATGGCCGTGGAGAGCACCTGCCAGAGTTCCGTAGAGGTGTTGCCGCGGCGTTTCGGGCACGTCGACCAGCGCGTGGACCCGCTGCCATTCTCTGTCATCGAACGATTCCAGTCGCGCTTCGACGGGGGCAGCGAGCTGGACGCGCTCCGCGAAGAGAAGCAGGCGGGCGCGGAGCTGACCGAGGACCAGGAGACCTTCCTGGAGACCGAGGACCGGGACTCCTGGCTCCGGCCCGATCTGCCGTTGCGGGACGCCACGGGCCGCGAGTTGGCGCCGGGGGAGAAGGCACCGCCGCGGCCGTCCTCATACGGCATGCCCATCGATGCTTTCGCCGTGGGGAAATGCCCCGCGTACCGGCGGCGCGGCCTCGTGCAGCAAGACACCGGCGCGGGCGAGCCGGCGGCCCGCGGGGTTGTCCCAACGGTCTGCTCGGACGCGCCCGCGGCTCAGTCGGGGCAGCAAGGACTCGGCCAGACGACGCTCGCCGCGGACGAGGAGGCGCCGCCCCCGCCGCCGCCCCCGCCAGGAACGGAAGAGAATCGTGAGGTCTGGGAGCGCTTCTTCTCGAGGGACGTCCGGGAGCTCGCCAAGGAGACGATGACGCACGTGTGCGGAGAGAGCTGCTACAAGTACTCGGGCAACAAGACCACGAAGATCTGCCGCCACGGCTTCTACTACATCGTCACGCTTGCGGATTGGCGCAGGCGCAGGCGAGGGAAGCCTCTGCGGAACGCCATGTTCGTGGTGCGATCCTCGACGCACGGCATGCAGGGTCGTCTGTTGCACTTCCAGCTCCACCCGTCTGAGTGCATTACCAACTACGCCGGCGCCGCGGCTGGACGCTTCAACCTGGATGCGCAGGACCTCCGACGAGTCAGCGACCCCAAAGCGTGGTTGGACGAGGGCGAGGTGCTCCCGCACGTCGGCTCGCAACCCAAGCTGGGGTACATGGGCACGTACGAGCTGGGCGATGCCGACGCTTACGTCAACCGCCCGGAGGTTCCGGAGAAGCCGCTCGCGTGGACGGACGACTGCTCGCCGGAGGAGTGGCGCGACATTATGCTGCAGTGCCAGACGGAGGACGCGGAGGGCGAGGACGCGGATGACGCGGACGCCGCGGACACCTTCGCGGACCAGCTGGAACTGGATGCCCAGGCAGCGTTCAGCGACGGCCTGAACACGGGCTTCTACATCAACTCCTACACGACGAAGCAGTGCCCCAGCATGGAGGGCGTCCTCGTGGAGATGCGGCGCGGCCTGGAGCGGCTGCAGGCGCAGCGACAGGCGCAGCAGGACAAGATGAAGCTGGAGCTGCAGCAGCGAGGAGACGACCCCGAGAAGACTCTGTCCGCCGCCGACCGGAGAGCGCTCGGGGGTAAGTCCAAGTTCGGGGAGACGCTGGATCTGGTGAAGAATCTGTCCGCATCGTACCGCCGATGCTACTGGAAGAGCGGGCCAGAGATGCTGTTCCCGATCTTCTACGGCCACCTCACCTACGCGTCCCACCGCTGCTGGACGATCTTCATCAAGAAGGGCGTCTTCCTGGCGGCGGAGGCGTGGCGACGCGAGTACGGGCGCTCTCTCCGGCACAAGGCCAAGCAGGACGGGGGCCGCGCCCCGGTGCAGTACCTCGGGCGCGGCGTCGACCCGTACACTCTCGAGGGGTGGCGCGAGGAAAAGGACGACGACGGGCAGGCGGTGTACGTGAGCCCGGAAGGCCAGCGCTTCCCGGATATCCTGACGGCCTACGAGCACGACGTCGCGACCAAGGCGGCGCGCGACGCGCCCGATCATCGCCAGGTGGTGTCGTTCCTGGCGAAGTTCATGCAGGACATGGGCTGCGAGAGCGAGGAGGCCCCGAAGACGGGGGACGGCTTCCGCATCGTGAGGACCACGAGCACTCTGGACGACTGGCTGCACCGCGGCGACGACCTGGTCCTCAAGCACATGAGTTTGCAGGTGTACGCCATGTGGGTCTACCGCTGCGAGAAGCCCGACGGCCTGTGGCGAGACAAGACCCGCGCGCAGCACCTGGACTTCGACTTCGCGCCGCACTACGCGCTGTACGCGACCCACAAGCAGCGCCTGGCTCCCGAGCTCCGCGTGCCCCTCTTCGAGGGCTTCACCATGCCGACGATGAACAAAGACTGCGAGACAGCATGTTTGTACAAGCAGTTGCTCCTGAGGCCGTTGGAGGTGGAGAACTCGGAGACGCCGGAGGACGAGCGCATGCTGCGGGCGTTCGCGCCCCTGATGGAGGCCCCCGGCGCGCCCCGTGACATGAATGTGCGCGGGTCAACCTGTTTCACGCGATCTTGGGCGCACTACGAGGCTCAGGCGGACGCGGAGGCCCGCGTCGCCGCGGCCCGCTTCCTCGCGCGGCACGAGTGGCCCTCGATCTGGGAGACACAGGAGGTGCAGGAGGAATTCTTCGCGCTGCACCAGGCGCGAGCGGAGGGTAAGGACGCGGAGGGCGACTCGCTGGACCCCGCCCACTGCCCCGACAGAGAGAAACCCAGGGCGACGGTGCACCAGTACGTCTCCATGATAGCCATGCAGGTGGCGCCCAACCTCGAGGGAATCGCCCTGGCGCGCGAGGAGAAGAAACCCCGGCAGTACCAGAGCGACGCAGCAGTGCAGAGCGCGTACCTCAAGGCGACCACCGGTGGAGGTGCCGGTCAGGACGAGGGCGCCGAGGCGGGCGAGGGCGTGGAGCACCCGGGCGCGCCTCCCAAGCGTGTCGGAGCACACTTCCAGCCGGTCCCGACGTGGGGCATCGACGGGGAGCAGGACATGGCGGACGTGCTGAACTTCGCGCACCGTAAGCGCCTCACGAGGTTGGCCAAGGAGCTCCTCGCGCTCCCGTGCATGTCCGAGGCGGCCCGCGAGGGCGCGGGTGCGCCCGAGCCGACGGAGGCCGCGACTGCCCCCGCGCCCGCGGCCGGGTACCGACCGCTGGTGACCGCGGCGCGCGAGGAGAGACACGCCTGGGGAAACCTGCACGACGAACGCCTCCAGGACAATCGCGACGAGGAAGATGCAGGCGCTCCGGACGGCGAGGACGCGGGCGCAGGCGGCCTGGGCGGCGACCCCGCTGCGGCCAGTTTTGCCAGCAGCGTGTACTCAACGCCCAGCGCGTACATCGCCGCCCTGGTCGCTGGGTTGCCGGAGAACGAGAGACTCACGCGGGACCAGACGCTCTTCGTCGCCAAGTTCGCCAAGGCCTGCGACGACGCCTGGGAGGACGACGTGCAGAAGAAGCCCTGGAGCGAGAGAAAAGTGACGCACTTGCTCCTGTTGGGCCAGGGCGGCTCGGGGAAGACGCACGTGGTGCAGAAGATCGTCTTCCCAGTGGTGGAGTATTTGTGGCCCTCGTCGGCGCAGGACAAGGGCGCCATGATGGTCGTGGCCTTCTCGAACGCGCAGGCGAAGAACATCTCCACGGAGACGGTGAAGGCCAGAACGCTGCACAACGCCTGTGCCCTGCGAGTCCAGAAGTACATCAACGCGAAGATGAGACCGGGGAGCATGCAGAAGAGATTGCAGTGGTTGTGGGAGCACGTCCGCGTCCTGGTCATCGAGGAGGTGAGCATGGTGGCAGCTGCTCTGTACAACGCTCTGGACCTCCGCGCCTGCCACGGGCGCAGTGACACGCACGACGTGCAGGAGTCCACCTACAAGAGGCCGCACCACCACTTCGGCCGCGTCCCCATCGTGTTGCACCTCGGGGATTTCCTGCAGCTGAAGCCCACCGGCAGCATCGGGCTCCTGACGGACGTGAACGAGCTCCTGGACGACGGGTCGTACAAGTACGCGGAGCCGCCGACGGTGGAGATCCAGCACGCCATCAGGGTATTCTCTCAGATCCCCTGCGTCTTCGAGCTGAAGGGCACGAAGCGCTTCGAGCCGGGGGACCCTCTGATCGCGTTCTTGGGCTGCATGCGCGAGGGCAAGCGCTTCCCACCAGAGGTCTGGTCTGCCTGGGAGAAGACGTTGGCCTCTGACAACCACGGCGTCCTGGACCCTCGGCACCAGCACGAGAACCTTCGGCTCGGCTACGGCATGGGCATCTACTGGGAGACGCTGGCGAGGTGGATCAACACGCGCGCTCGTCGCGACGCGCGGCGCCTCGGCGTCCCCCTCGTTTTCCTGCAGGCCGTAGACGAGTCCGGCACGATTCAAGGCGAACCAGACGCAGGCCGGCGCCTCCTGAACGTCCCGAACATGCACAAGACGGGGGACATCCACGGCGTCTTACCGGCACACGTCGGCATGGAGGTCCGGTTTACGGCCGTGCAGGAGGAGCCGAAGAAGAAGTTGGGGCTCGTGCAGGAGCAACGGGCCACCATCGTGTCCTTCGAGTTTCACGCAGACGACGAGCGGGACTACGAGGAGTGCGCGCCGGGCCAGCTCTTCCGCCCCCGCTTCCTACCGCAGGGAATCTGGCTGCATGTGCACGGCTTCCAGGAGTCCCCGATCTACAAGGAGGTCGCCGAGGTGCTGCTGCAGGGCACCGAGGGCGCTGACGACGACGGCGAGGCCCAGGCGCGGGCGAGGAGCTTGCTCATGTTCAGGCCCAGCGAGCAGGAGTTCACGTGGCAGAGCTCGGGGGCGCACACTGTGCGCCGCTCGGGATTCACGCTGACGCACGCGTCCTACCTGACCTCCACGCTGTCGCAGGGCCAGACGCTGCGCAAGGGCGTCACCATCGACTGCGCCAGGGATGAGGACGCTGGCCGCACGGGCATGTCGGACGATATGTGGTGGCTGCACCTCTACGTCATGTTCTCCCGCGCCACGTGCATGCGGAACATGCTGATCCTGCGGCCGCCCGCGCGAGAGTTCCTGGAGCGCGGGCCGCCGGCGTCACTGCGGAAGGCGCTCCAGGAGTTCGACGAGAGAGCGGTGGACTCCAGGGCTGAAGCGGAGCAGCTCGCGGCAGAGCTGGGCTTCGTGCTGCCGCCCGCCTGAGCGCCGCGGCGCGCGCGAGGAGGCCCGCGGGGTTGTCCCAACGGCCTGGCCCGCGGGGTTGTCCCGACGGCCTGCCCTCGCGCTCCGGCGGCCCGCGGGAGTGCCCCGCAGGCATGGCTGGCCCGAAGGGTTGACCCGACGGCTTCGCGATCTGGCCGTCGGCAAACGCGCGCGTTCTGACCGAGGCGGCGACGGCGCCGAGGAAAATCGACTTGCTTCCCCCGACCGGGGGGAAAGGGACGTGCACGTGGAAAAGAGGCAGGAGGAGGATGAGGACGGAAGGGGTATGGGGAGGGCGATGATGAGGAGGAGGTGGAGAAGGAGGAGGAGGAGGAGGAGGAGAAGGAGGGGGGGGGAAATAGAAGAAGAGGAAAAGATGGCAGAGGAGAGGGCGATACGAGGGTGTTTGCCATGGCCGGGAGGAAAGGGATAAGGGAAAGCTAAACAGATTATCATGTGGGGTCCTTCCGTCGGAGTAATTTTTTATTTAAT